GGCTCCTGGCCATACTACTAGGAACAAGAAGCTACTAGGGGCTCCTGGCCTTATTACTAGTAGCAAGGACGCTACTATGGGCTCCTGGCCATACTACTAGGAGCAAGAAGCTACTAGGGGTTCCTGGCCTTATTATCAGCAACAAGAAGCTACCAACGTAACCTTCACCAACCAGACCTGAACAGAATTCGCAGGGTTTGCTTTGTTGGTTCTTGGCACCCGGAAAGAGGCTGTCCCCGGAAAAACACACCAGAACCACTAAAGTGTCAAAGGGATACTGAAGAGTTCCACCATCGTCAACCCGGTCCATCGATCTTGTTCACGTGGAAACATCACGGGTCCGGTCTTCTAGAAAGACTTGACTCTGCTTAGACTTGATTAAGACTCTTGGACAAACTCCGGAAATCCCAGAGACATGTGGGACGAATGGAACCCTGTGTTTGGAGCATGTAGGTATAGTGACACCCTGTGTTTGATACATGCAAGGCCGACAAACTTTAAACAAGTAAGGGCTTAGTTGTTCAATGCATACCATATAATATATATATATAGATCCGCAACAAACAAACAACAAACAAACAAACCAAGAAGTGAAGACTGCATGTTTTCTGCTGGACGTTGGCCCACCTGATTTGTGCGCCCGGCTCGACCATCGGCTTCGACGGTCTGCCTCACTGAAACAAGTCTAAACACACTTTCGTTGAACCTTTTGAGGTAAGAAGAACGATCTGATCAAAGACATTTTGCTTCAGACGTACAAGGACCGAATTTGGCTTTTGAGGGAAGGGCCGGTTTTTTTAATGGCCAGATGCTAAGTATTGATGATTGGTTGAAGCCTACACAGGAAAATTGGATAATCTGCAAACAAATTTGTGCAGTAGTGGATACCCCAACAAGAACAGGTGGAGTTGTTTTTGGTTAACCTTCACTTTCCAGGCCACCACAAGAGCAAGTTGTGGCCAAGTGAAGCACGGGGAAAACCGGAGTCACGTTCGATGGGGTGCCGGTTTCGAACGGAGGAAGGAGTGCAGCTGCCCCAACATCACATCTACAGCCTCGTCGGATGGGACGAGCCCAGTCAACCACCCAACTCCATTTGCGACTCCTGGGTGTTCTTTGTTTGTTCAGTTGATCATTGAAGTACCAACCTGGTGTCAACCCCCCTAGTTCCATGTAGTTTCTCAACTCCATCATGCAGTTCCAAACCATCGTGATACTCCGAGGAGGACTGGATGTACATAAACTCATATGGAGGACTTGGTGAAAACTCGGAGCTGTAAACCCTGGATCCGGTTGACCTCCCAAACCGGTCGTCCATTCCATGTTCGGTCAACGAGCTCGGGCCAAGGGTTCTACGAGCTCGTACTTCACCCCAACTGTCAAGACCCAAAATAGAACAAAGGGCCAGAAGTCACGGAATAGCAAAAGGAACCAAATATAGCCGATGGCCTCCCCCAGAACGAGCCATGGCCTCCACCAGGAGTCGAGTTGGGTGGTAAGTGGCTCGTCCCATCCAATGGCTGTGGATGTGACAGGGGCACCCCGACTATCCTTCGTTCGGCACCCCGTCGAACGTGACTGACAACGTGACGTTGCACCAAAAACATGGCGAAACCTGAGTGTGCTGATGAGCGTTTTGAGTTTCCCTAGGGATCCAGTCGTACCTTCTCAGAAGGTACGTACGACACCCTCCAAACCTACAACAGTGTCTCCAATCACCTTCTGACAAGGTACTTCGATCCATAGGGTTTTGCTTGCTCAGTGAGTTTTAGTTCTGGCTGCAGGAGTTCTTTTTGTTTGCGTGTTTTTGCTGTTTTTTGTTTGTGTGTGTTTTCCTTTTCTTTTAACCAGCCGCGATGGTTTCTGGTGCCAACGTCGAGTTGCAACTCGTGCATCCTGTTGGGACTTCACGGCTGAACACAGATCGGCCAAAAGCGTCCGCCGATGAGTGGCCGCTTGAGTGGTATCTTTGTCCGGAATGGAGTGCATATAATTATCCATGATCCATGAGTGGTGTTCCATGAGTGGTATCTTACTGTATATAATTATTCAGAAAGAACATTAGATGCATAGAACGGCGTGGGAACACGACACACGCGAACGATGGCATCCATGAGCATTCCTCCGTGCTTTTGAGTGGATCTTGATTCTTGATGTCTTGGTTTCATGAACGCTGACCAAAAGGCAAGGGTCCCGTTTGCGCTGCTACACCTCATCATTGTTTGTATCTCCAGGTGCAACATTTTAAGAGGCACATAGAGGCACCCTTCCATGGCTGTGATGTTGAAACCTTCTGAAACAGTGCTTGTTCCACGAAACGGCGCCAGACGTCTCAGGCTTCCAATTATAGCTCCTAGCTGGACTTTCACTACCCCATTTCACAGTTGCTTTGGACACGTCGCACGTTCAAAAGGCCGGCCGTGGACGGCTGTTTTTGCGTTCTAAAGCCGCTGTCTCCGCTTCGCAGGATGCTGACGTGCTCTTTCTCCAAGAGGCCATGTTGTTTTTTGGCTCGATGCCGAATGCTGTGAGATCTGTGGGATGCATCGCCTGGCAAGTTTGGCCGATTTAGGAAGTTGGTTTGCACTCGTACTTCAGGTTGCGGTCACCAAACTAGGTCGGCCCCCAACCTCTCGATGTAGATGACCACCACAAGGGTACACTCTGCCAATGTGGACACCAACATGCTCTCATGATCTCTACATGCTCTCATCACGTTTCCCATGAAAGCCATGGGTCACGTGAACCCCATGGGATCGCTTCATTGGCCCAGTTCCTGGCCGCCCAGGATCGCTAAAAAACGGAACATCCATGCGTTGAGCACCGGACAGTCCCAGAATATCCATGTACAGTTACCTACAGGGCCATGCATGAGGTAAATGTATATACTGATATATATATATATATTAACAATTATACCAGGACCAGGACCTTCAAAGTGACCCTTTGATATCCCAGGATGAGGTCACAAATAGGTCTGTATACAAGGTCACAAACAGAGACTTCACAGAGGTCACAAACTGCTCAGGTCCTGCTAGAGTTACTAACCTGTAGGGACTATACCCTAGGGCTCCAACCACCTCCTGGGAAGGTGGTTAGACCCCCCAAACTCACCCTGACCACCGAACCTCAGGAGGTGGGACAGGAGCCCTAGGGATATAACTCTTTAATACATGGATCGTCCGGACGACGTAGACTTCACGACATCATGGCACGCCGATAGCACGGCACCGGCACCGCCGTAGCATGGCGCTCCGCATCGCTTGGCGCCGCGTTAGACAGCGCGTCGGGCTGGTCTCGTTCGAGACAGGCTGGCAATCAGCTCTTGAGCTCGCTGTGAGGTGCCCGAGTCTGCCAGGTCCAAGTTCGGACGCGGAAAAGCACGCGGAAAACGTCGAGTCTGTGGCGGCGTTCGTGCCGATTTGGGGCCGTTGTTTTTTGTTGAAGGATATCCAGGGCTCAAGATGCTCAGGTCAGCCAAGTTAGAGATCCGATAGCGATTCTTGAAAAAAGGAGATGAATGTTTGCTCCTCCAAGCAAGGAAACCTGACTGGTTCATCCAAGGCTTGGTTGTGCGATGAGGGAGGGGTCGCAAGCTGTGCTAGGGCCGCTAGTTACACCCCAGGTCGCTTCTTCAGTGACCAAACTTTGGAGTCCCGATCAGCCCTGACCCTTGACGTCCGGGCTGTTGGTGACCCCCTGAGAGAAGTAGAATTGAATGCAGAGTTCCACGAATTCTGCATTGGATCTGATCATCCAATGTGGAGTGGTTGTTCATCAGCTGTTTGAACACCATCAATAGGGCAATATCTATAACCAGCTCAGGTCGTGTTCCTATGAATTCCTATGACTCAGGATATCTCATTTTGGCAATGTGGATCTATGTGGATCTGATTCAATTTGCTGCTGCTGGTCTAGGTGGTCTGGAGCTGGCTCTGGCTCTTGAAACGTTTGAGCTTAAAAAAGATGTGTTTTCACTCATCCCGTCGGAGTGAAAAACTACCTGTGGTGATTGAACCGCTTGCGCCGGTCTGCTCTTAGGCGCGAAGAGTATAGCAGCACCTTCCATGTAGCGGTGCCCAGGATCATGTGGGTTTTGGAACAATCCAAATCACGGATGGCCTGGGGGTGGCCCGGACTTGGTGAGGAAGATTGAGGAAGGTGGTGCCACAGAAGCGGAGAAGTGGATGATGGTCACGAAATCAGAGATTTGGAAGCAGACACTTTACCTGCCCCCGGGTGAGGAGTGAGAGCTTGACAGTGCGTTGTTCCCTGAACAACCTGGAGTCGACCCATTCGTACGTTAGAAACTGGGCAGAGATCTGCCGATCTGCTTGTTTTTATTATGTCATGATCATGATCCCATTTTCTAGAGGACGAATGGGAGGGTACGTCACAGGTTCACTTAGTTCACGATGTCGACAGCAATGTCTGTGCCGTACCAAGGTCGACCGTGCTTCATGCAGCTAGATCTTAAAGCCTAGGTTGACTCTGGTCGGTGGACCATGTCTGGGGGCGTCGCCCTTCTGTTCATGTTCCGGTCAATCAGGGTCGCCGATAGTTCTCAAAACCAGACATCTGAACCAGACACTCCATGAGACTGGCATATATGCCGATCAGTCGGGGTGGTTGACTGGGGGGTCTAGCTTGATCGGCATATGGCAGTCCTATTAGTCGTGTCTGGGATAGATCTGAACCTGGCAAAGGCAAGAACAAGTGGCCAAGCCTTGGCGACAGGTACCCTCACCTCCCCGGCCAATGGCCAATACAGACAGGGGTACACCCAGACGATCCACGGTGGCGCATGTTTATGGCCTACATGACTGGTGGTATTGGGTGTTTTTTATGTAGGTCATATGACCCCACCACTCAGATCGTTGGGAACTGTTCTGCACGGAAAAACAGCCGTTTTTCTTTCATCCGCCTCAAGTCCGGCTTGGACGCCGGACTTCAAACCATACCCGGTGCCTGCGCAGCCCATCCGGTCGTCGTTCGAGTCTGGTCGCAGTGGCGGTCAGGAGCTTCAGCAACGAACGGGCACAGAACTCGATCGTCCTGCGCGGGAGCCCGGGGTGATGGGAGACCCGTGGAAGAAAGATGGACTGTTGGTGTTCACGGACTCTTTCTGTTAACTGTTTTTTATGTCTTCATCCCAGACCCTTGGATCTGTTGTTTGATGTTGTTGGTATTCTAAAACATAAAAGATATTGATATTCTTTCAAGGAAACCTGAGGAGCAGTCGTGACTTGCGAAAAAGAAGAATCTTGTCACCCATGTTGGCGCCCTGCAAAAAGAGAAGGCATGACCCACCGCCCTAACTTTTTGTTTGCATTGTCTTATAGGGATCCAAGTACGTTCTCAGAAGGTGATTGGAGACACTGTCATGTAGGTTTGGAGGGTCCAGTCATACCTTCTGAGACTTGGATCCCTATAGATGTCTTTGGCGGGATTCATTTGTTGTTTTTCTTCGGCAGCAAGTTCGCAGAGAGGCTCGCCGTGGCCCACAAAAGCATGCCCTGGTTTTGAAAAATGGTTGATCTTGTTTTGTGTCAAATCCTTAGTAAAACACTCGTTGTTCGGGATGACGCGGCTATTGAAAAAAAAAAAAAAACATGGTGGGCCATGACCACGACATGGTCAAGACGGCGGTCAAACGATTCGGGTGCCCTATGAAGTGAAACGCTGAAAGAGGAAGACCATGTGCGTGTAATGATTGCATGAGGCCTCGCATGCCGTCTATTGTCAGGTTCATGTTTGTCCAAATACGTTTTTTGTACATATTGTGTTCTTTCTTGGTCTATTGCCCGGGTTGCTCAATTTCAGCTTCGTTCGTTTCGTTTTTGCCAAGTGTTCTTTCTTTCACTGGGTACATTTTCCTATACAATCCTATACCTTGATAAACCCGGACAAAGGTGCTTCCAAGGGGCGTGTCAAGTGCTTCCAAGCGCTTTGTGGCTTGGAACTCACCTAAACTGGTTTCGGTTGACATCCTAAACAGGAATCGGTTCATGTTAGGTCTGGCTTGGTGGGCCGGATTGGAAGACCAACAGTGTTTGTGCAAAGAATTCCTGACCCCCAGGCTTCAGTTATATTCTTTCTCTAACCCAACCGATGCATGGTGGCGTAAATATGACGAATATGACATATATTCACCGGGAAAACAGAAACAATACATAATTTACTTAGTGATCCCCACCCTGGTTTTGGCATCAATTCTGGTTTGTGCTTTGACACATCATCTATCATAAAGGCTGGGAAACGTTCTGGACTGTGTTCTGACATCTTTGTTGGCGTGTGTTCTGACACTTTTTAACGTCTGACATGTGCTGTGACAAATGGGCCAACTTCAGTGCGGGTATGTATTCTGAATTATTCGGACATGTATTCCGACATTTGTTCTGCCCTCAAAGATATCCTGGCATTCTATCTGACATAAAATCAGACATTCTACCTGGCATCTAAGATAGTCTGAGCTCTATCTGGCAAAGTTGCTGGCATTCTATTTACCATGGCTGCTTGCATTTTATCTGGCATCATTGCTGGCATATACTCTGGCATTCTGCGTGGCATTCAATATTGGGTGCATTTCTGGCATTCTATCTAGCATGTATTCTGACCTTCTATCTGGCGTATATTCTGACAAGGTCCGGCAGCGCCAGCGCTCACTGCGATTGGGAGGGAGCTGACGGTTGAGGTCCACTGTGATCTGGAGCTTGCTGTTGAGGTCCGGTATACGTGCCCACTGCGATCTGGGCGCTTTCTGTTGAGGTCCGGCAGTGCCCACTGCGCTCTGGCGCTTGCTCTTGAGGTCCGCCAGTGCCCACTGCGACCTGGCGCTTGCTGTTGAGGTTCGGTGGTACGCTGCTATCTGGCGCTTGCTGTTGAGGTCCGGCAGTGTAGAGCCCACTGCCGGCTCTCCACTGAAGAGACCAAAGAAGCGATCAAGTGGGGGTGGAACATGACGGACACTTTGTTATGCAAGTAGCGCAGGTGGTAGGTAACACTCTTAATAGCTCTAGCTTTCAAATCAGTCCTTTTTTGAGGAGGCATAATGAGGCATACGGAGCGTTGGCAAGATTGGCTGCTTTGCAGAAATGGGCGCTGTGGTGCACATGATGCAACATGTAGTGAAATTTGGTAAGGATATATTAGTGGCACCTCGCATGGACCCTTTACACTTGGATGCCCGTGGTGGTTGCTAAGTGGCTACAGCGGATAGTGTGCTTAGCAATGAACCTATATGTTACCCAAAAGAATATATATCTTCAGTAACATTGCTTATAACATGGCCAAACCTACATATAAACCAGTCAATATACATATAGTGTTTGTATTATTTGTTAAGTACTTAGCGTCAACATGTAAATGCTTAGATTTATGTTAAGTAGCAAGGCAACTTAGTATCTACTTAGCCTTTAATGTAAGTAGTTTGCGCTAAGTTGTGTAAGTAAGTTGTCGTGCTTACGAGCATGTGGGGTAAGTAACTTAGGTGATTTATGTATGTTGGCTAACTGGAACTTACTAAGTATGTTAAGTGCGCTTGTGGGCTACGTGGCGAATGCTTGCGTGCACGGGAAAGGCGCATGCGTGCACAGAACAATGCATACAATGCGTGCATTTGTTTTCTTCCCTAGAGTTATTTTTTCCGAAGGCGTTTGCAGTGCAAGTGTTTACTTTTATTTTTGTGAGGGCCCGCACAAAACGTTTCCACATATTTTTGACGATGTGTTTCTTGTCGATATTTTTTTTGACTTGTTTTTTTCTTTTGTTGGCATTTGCAGTTTGATTTTGATAGGATTTTTGTAAGTATCCGCAGAAAGTTTCCACAACTTGTTGTTTGGAGTGGTTGTCATTGTTTGTTTTGTTTTTGTTTTCTTTTTTATTTTCCATTTGCAGATGTATATATGTAAACATATCAAAAGGAAGGCACCGATTTTTTGCGGGGAGGAGGGTGCCACCCTGTGCAGCGGGGAGGGCTGCACAGATAATATATATATCAGTCAAACCCTTTTGTTCGGTGACGATTGCGCCGATGATGGAACTTGGACGAAGGGACTGCGGTGAGCCCAGAGTGGAGGGTAGGTGGGATTTGTTTCTCTTTGAGATACCGACCATGGAGTCAAGCTAACTAGAGCCACTATAGAGAAATATTGGCCTCTCATTCTGTCTTTCAGTGAATGTCTTCATGCCAGCAATGCATGCCTCATGGATCTGCACATGTTTGTACGTGATCACGCACATGCCTGCATAGTTCGACGTACGGTCAGTGATCTTGTACATGGAATTTGGCGAATGCATCCATGAGGCAGAATTGGATCCATGGGCATTTGGCGAACGCCAGTTGAGAAGGCGCCAATTTGGGTCATGAAGTGTTGCGGTGCCATGTCTTTGGCTGAATTCATGTTTTCCAGCTGTTTGAAGTCGTCTGATATGTCACGAGAGGGCATTTGATGAGGGAAGTGAGTCAAGGTTGTTTCTTTTGATCAGACATGTTGAGAAGTCATTTGATGAGGGAATTGTTACTTTTGATCAGTACATGTTATAGTTGATGCTCAATCAATCATCTGATATGAGCCTATAAATGAGTGCATTGCATATAGCGGCCTGCTGCGCAATCAATTGTTGAATGTCGTTAATGTGAGCAGGGCTTTTGCTCGCTTGTTGGCAGGGATGCGTCTCGCCTTGTTTGATAGCGGTTTGGCTCTCATTACCGTTATTGTAGATTGGATCACTGATTGGGTTGGATCGTAATGGCAGCGCCTCTGTTGTTGGCATGGATCGCCTCCTTTATGCTTCGGCACGCGCGTACCGATGTGGAGCGTGCCGTTAGAGCGACCCGCGTCCTGGTGTCAGTTGAGAGGGCCATGCAAGCGTGTTGGGCCTTGCCGCAGGAGGTGACTCGGAGTTTGGTAAAGGCGCAGCATCAGCTCCAAGCTGCTGAGCATGCCTTAAAGACCGAGGTGGCATTCCTGTGCAACGGTGGCGGACAGCGATTCTGGTTCGATCGCTTTGGGTGGTTGCGGGAGCAACCACTGCGAGAGAACTGGGAGAGGGAGTGGCGCACATGCGCCAACGCCTTCCAGAAGGATGTGGAGAGGTACTTGACCGTCATCGACCTGCAGCAACAGTTTTTGGTCTTCGCTGGCATCTGTAAGTTGGCAACTGCGTTCGATGAGTTGGCCCAACTATGCAGATGGCCACTCGGATTTTACATCCGCGACGCTGTGCAATCAGCTCAGTGGAGGCCTAACTTTGAACCTCCTAACTTCATGATGCGCGTATGAGATTCTTTCGACCCGTCTGAAACACGGACCAAGGAGTCTAGCACGAGTTCTTGGGTGGCAAACCTTCATGCGCAATGAAGGTGATATGAATTGCTCGGCTCAGTGTTTGAGAAAAAGTTGATTTGTCCTTCGTGCACGTTCTTTGAAGTCGTTCGTTGTTTGAAGTCCTTCCCAAACTTGAAATGTGAAACTTGAAACACTTGAAACGTTTTATAGGAGCTTTCCTGTTGAGAGGGTTGGTCGTGAGAGACTTGTGGAGACTTGTGGGACTTGACTGTGGGAATTGTGGGACTTGTGGAACTTGGTGCTTACAGCTCAGCTCCGGCCCCGCCAGGCAACCTTGGAGTGAGTCCCGCTCATGGCAGGGCAGTGCATGCTCGCCAGTCAGCAGGGAAGGCAGGGTATAGTGCACCTGTGGGAGGCGTGTCCTTTTGCAACATGAGAGACTGACAGACATCCTTTGAGAGATTGCGCTTATGACTCATGATTCCTTACTACTTACTGTTTCGAGATGTTGCGTGTATGTTGGTCCAAAGCGACGTATGCGTGTATATACGTCATGAACATGAACATGGAGTATATGAACATGAACATGAATGGGTGAACGTGAACCTGAACATGGATGAACATGAGCATGAACATGGATGAACATGAACATGGTGACAACGAGCATGTTTTCAGTCTCGTGGAGCATGTACATCACATGCAATGGTTGCATGGTCAGAATGTAACTTCTTGTTCACTAACTATTCAATTGGACTTTGTTTTTCGAT